TGCCCTGCTCCCCCTCCCTCCCCCCATCCCTGCGCCCCTGTCTCCGCTTCAGCAGCAGGACGAGCAGAACGGGGATGATTTTAGGGGGACCAAGGGTGCAAGTGGAGAGGTCCGCAGGACAGCGAGGGGGGGTGACCCCTTTAGGGAACTGGGGGACAGGGGACAGGACTCCAGGCATGAACGCGATGGTTGTACAACCTGTCTTCTTTGTTAGGTTCCAACCTGAAGATGCCCGAACAAGTGGCAGGGACCCGGCGAGGCCAGCAGCAGGGTTGGGTCCGGGCAGCTGAAAAGAAAACTGGGGTGCGGTTGGGTGGGGGCAGACTGGGCAGGTGGCGGTCTTCAGTCCTGCCTGTCATCTCCCCTCCCCTCCCCCCCCACTCGGAGCCGCAGAGCTGGGCGGGGCTGGGGGTGCAGAGGCCCCGGGTACCCCACCTGCCTCCAAGGCTCTGGCACCTTTGACACCCAGAGGCATTATATCTATCATCTGTCATCTATCTACCTATCTGTCACTTCTGTGCCATCTGTCTATCGTCTGCTGTCCACCTCTCTGTCCAGTGGGACCAGCACCAGGGACCAGGAGCTGGACTCCGGGCGTGCGGCTCGAGGCCTGGAAGCTGACCGACTCTGGGTTCAGTCAGACAAACATTTCTTTTGCTCAGTGTTCAAGCCTGGACAAGCCCAGACATCTCTGAGCCATCTGCCCACTTGTACACGAGATAGTGACCGCCACGCCTCAGAGGCAGCGTGAGGTCAACCAAACGCAAGTGCTGTGTTGCAGCTGCGGGTGAACAGCACCTCAGGCACAGCCGAGACGAGGTCCCCCGTGGGGGTTTCTGGGTGCGCAGAGGGGCACACGGCATGAGAGGCTGTGACAGTGACGGATGCAGGGGGATGGGGGAAGAGAGGGTCTTCCTGGGCGGGGCTTGTGGAGCAGCTGTCTCAGAGGAGATGAGATGGGCGGGTGGCTGAGATCGGGCGTGGCAGCACCCGTCAGCGGGAACACTGGACAGAAGCACCGAGGACAATGGGGACAATGGGCGTGCTGAGGGCTTCGGGGAAGTTCACGGCCAGTTCACGAGGCCTGAGGTCCGGCCACATGTCCTCAGGGCTGGGGCGAGGAGCTTCTCTGAGGGTACCTGTCATGGCAGTTTTGTTTCTGGGCTGCTGTCACTGGCCCCACGAAGCTGAGGCGGCCCCTGATCGTCCTGTGCCGGCGGCCTGTGGAAGCCTTGGTCCCTGCCCCAGCCTCTGGTCACAAGGGCCACACCTACCGAAGGACACCTTGGTCATTTCCCAGTCTTAACAGCTGTGAGTGGAGCCGCTGTGACCGTCCACGTGCAGGCTTCGTGTGACAGTCTTCATCTCCTTTGGGGAGACGCCAGGGCGCATGACCGCGGGGTCGCAGGGTGAGAGCATGCTTAGTTCTGTAAGAAGCCGCCACACTGTCCTCCAGAGCGGCTGCCCCAGGCCGCGTCCCCGCCATCACTGGTGGTGTCCGAGTTCGGATTTTGGCTGTTCCGACGGGCGTGGTGGTGTCTCATTGTTCTAGTTTGCGTTTCCCTGACGACATGTGAAGCAGCTTCATGCACTCGTGGGCCTCTGTCTTCCGCTGAGGTGTCTGTTCAGGTCTGCCAGCAATCGGAGTGAGCGCGGCAGACGGGAGACACGTCGATCTGGTCTGAGGCAGGGTGCCAAGGGTAAGTTTATCAGTTTCATGATTTTGTTGTGACTTTTTTCTCATTTGAGCGTAATTTTGTGATAGCCAGCTTTGTACACTGAAATGCAAAGATTTCTAATTTGGGCCTTTACATTTTTCTTCTGTTTGTCTATATTTTTGCTAAAGTTTTTAAATAATTACTTTATAAACAAAAAAAAAGAGCTATTTTCGAAGTTTTTAATGGAACAGTGTATACTTATAAAATACATAGTCTTCGGTTTAACTTTTTCCTGGAGTTTCTACTCATATTTAGTCCAGGTTTGACAAAGCGCTGCATTTTAAAAACAGCTTTTTCCTCTTTGCTTTTTAAAATCGAGGCGCAAGTTAACGCCGCCAAGGGCACAGCGCGTAAGTGTTCAGCGGAAGCGTTGTATGTACGTGGATGGGGCGGAGCCAACACTTCCAGAGCCCAGGGCTCCGTGGCCCCTCTCCCCATCACCGTCCCAGCCCACGGCCCAGGACAGCTGAGCCAAAGCCACGAGGCAGTGCTGACCGACGATGGCTGGAGCCTGCGCCCCTCATTCTGATGTTCAGTCACACGCCGATCTGCATAGCTGTCTGATCGTTTGAGTCTCACCCTCAGCCGAGCGATAAACCGGGCAAGTGTGGCCGTGACCCACGTTCCTGTTGTCCCCTGGGTGCTGGAGCACAGCCTTCAGCATGGCAGGGTTTGCTGCGTGGTAATTTGCACATTGCTCTCCCCAGCTCGTCTTCAGATACTCGTGCAAAATGGAAAACCCAGTGTCCAAATGATTACCGACTATTCACCAATCAGAAAGTATTTAGTTAGCGCCCAGTATGTGCAAAGCACTTTGTTTCACATTTGAAAAACATTTGAAAAAAAAAAAAATCTCAGAGAACCGGAGGCTTGTGTCACGCCTCATGGAGCTACAGTCTGCAGGGGACAAACGTTCAGTCATTACAGGAAAAGCCATGTTGTCATCAGCGCTTTGTTCCGGTAAACTCGGCCAGCCTGTTACATGGAGTTTAGATGCACTGACCATAAACAAAGCAAATATTGAACTTTAACTCAAATGCTAAGGACATTAACTTGGACACATAATAACTGCAGAAAGAGGATCTGTTAAACTCTCAAAAAAAAGACAAAACCCACATTTCTCCTAAAGAATGTTGTTTACTGAAGTTGAGAGCTTTTTAGCTGATTGCTTTAAAATTTGTCATTCCTCAAACTGGTCCTACCCTGCTTTGATTTTATTTATGCAGTGTTCTCTTCTAGCTTGTAAAGTATGTTTTTGAGTGAGGATTAAAAATAGAATGTGAGGGAAGAGGAAGACACTGAAAAAGCAAAATACAGGTAGAATAATTAAATTATCCCGTGCCTCCGGTCCCCACATCTGGATTCTCAGAAAGGTAATTGGCTTGTCCCCAAGTGGCACCATGTGTAGACGGCTGTAATTGGATTATATGAGATTGGTCAACTTTATACCGTTGGCACCTGTCCCAGGGGTCCCCCAGGAATCCCGGGGCACACGAGCAGCAGCCAGTGTTTATTAGCACCACCAGGATTTCCGTAGCCGGGGGCGGTGTGAGGCCAGGGTGTGGATCTGGGCTCTGAGCAAGGGGTGACCAGGTTCCACCCCTGCAGTGCCGACTCTGGAAGGTGACGTGGCAGGGGTTTGGAGCCCAAGCCCGAGACGGCGCTGTAGTACCTCTCTGTCACAGCAGCGTGACACTTTCCTGTCCCCACACCCCGCCCCCGTCGCAGCACCCACCTCCCCGCAAGGTTCGGACACCACATTGGGCTCCTTTTCTGTCTTCACTTTCTTTCTGGTCGAAGCGTGTTAAAGTGATGTGTGTGCCGTTTTTAGAATGAAAGGCTTGGACTAAATGATTTCTTTCAATTCACAGTGCAAGTTGCCTGCATGTTGTGACATATTTACTGTTAAAGTCAGGTTATCCGTCTACCGGAGAGCGACTGTTTTTAACACAAATCAAGATAATACCTTGCTTCTAATATTTTTAAAACCCTTTCACAGCAAGAAGGAATGTTGCTGATTTCGGAACAGAAACAGTGGGAGCAGGATGATCCAAAGTCCTAAGTTTTAGTAATTTCTAAGAACAAGGTTTCTAGTGCTGGGGAAGAAGGCTGGGAAGTCGCCCCTGTGTCCGCCCCGCCACGGCCCGTGAACCAGACGGCCGCCGGAGGGCGCTCTGAGCCCGCTCCCCGCTCAGGCTCCACCATCGGGGGTGCAGAGCCTCACTCCATACCCAGGAAACATGCCCTGGAAGCAAGCATCCTTGGTCATGCGAACACACGACGCCGTCTCAAACAACTTGAGGTACAACTGAGACTGTGCGTGCCGCTGCGTTTTACCGAAAGGGTGAAAAGCAGGTGGATGCCCCTGGAAAACCGAGGCGAATAGCCGCCAGGCCTTACCAGGAAAAGCTGCGAGCCCACAAGTGCTGTTCGTAACAGAAAGTCGAGTTGTCTTGAGCAATGGGAACTCATCGTGACGCAGGAGCAACACACGAGCGACAAAGGGTGAGTCCCTGTAACCGCACATGCGGTGGGAATCATTCGGCCTCAAAGAGGAAGGAAAGGCGGACACTTCGATCAACTGTGAGGACCTTATGCTGAGAGAAGCCGGTGGCAAAAGGGCGACTCTCGCTCGGTCCCTGGTCCCTTCACCAGGAGGCTCGGAGTGTTCTGGGGGGGGAGGCGGGAATGAGGGTGCGGGGCGAGTTCGCTGCCGAGGGCGGGCGCTGAGGAGCGCGGCGGGGAGCCGGCGCGGCCGAGCCCCGGGCATCGTGGCCGTCTTCACAGCAGACCACGGGCAGCACGGGCAGCACGGGCAGCCAGACGGAGACCCACGTGGGGAAAACGCCTGACCCTATCCCGCCTCATTCTTACACAAAATGCGATACAAGGTGGATTTTATACCTAAACAGAAATTGTGAACAACGCTTCTGGAAGAAAACATAAGAAAATAGCTTTCTGAATGAGAGGTAAGCAAAAAATTCTCTAGACATGAAACAAAACCACAATAAAAAACCCCCACCAATCACCAAAGTGAAATTTCATAAACTAAACTTCATCAAAATCAACAATTTCTGCTTATAATATGCACCTTTAAGAAAAAGAAAGGCAAGCCACGTGGACTGGAAGAAAATATTTGTTTGCAACACACATAATGGACCAAGGACTCCAAAGCCTGCAACGAACTTCGATGAACCAGCAAGAAAAGGACAAACGATGCCAGTGAAAACGGCGAACACCTGAGCAGACATCCCATTTCCCCGTGGCCTCTGCATGATGCCGTATGCACCTGAAACCTAAGAATCCCACCTGTGGACGGCTTAAGGAGTGTGCACAGTGAAGTATAGAGAGAGACGGGTTTATAACGAAAAATGGCGAAAGATTTACCATCTCCATGGCTGACCTCCTGCCGCGTGTCCCCGGCCACTCCGAGGCCTTCAGCCAGCCTTTACCTGTGCTCGGCTTCCCTGTGGCAGCACCCGGGCTCTGGTCACCTCGGGCCGCTGCTGCTGGACTGCCCCCGTCGCTGTGACCCTGGTTCCTCGTACAGACGAGCTTTCTGGAGTTAACGTGTGGGCCTGTCGTCTAGCCCCACTGAGAAGTGACATCTCTGTCCGTGCTGGGACAAGGACGTTGTGGGGACAGCCGTGCAGGGCCTGCTGGCCTCCTGTGTACTTGGGGAGCAGGAGCTGAGTGGGGAGCAGTGACGGCGGTTCTGCCCGCCCGGAAGCTCGGCCGGGGGCCGGGCCCATGGGAGCATGCGTGGCCTGCTGTGCGTGACGTGCGTCTTCACGCGACGTGTGGCAGCTGCATGAGCACCCTCGCCAGCTTGGTTGGAACTACATAGGATTTACCACTGCAAACACACAACAGAATAAAGGTCCGTAACCGGCATGTGATCTCCTGTCAGACTGGCAGACACAGACGCCCCGGCAGAGCCGCAGCTGTGTATGGCCGGGCCTCAGGCTCCCTCCTTCGCTCCTGCAGCCGGCCGGTCAGGAGCAGCTTTGGGGAGGACAGTGGTCAACGCGGTCACAACCGCGGAGTTCCCAGTCCCTTTCCAGCTACGCCCCACCCTGGGGACGTGGTGCCCTGGCTCGAGCTGTCTGGCACCGCCAGCTCTGAGAACAGCCAGCGTGTGCCCAGTGGCTGGAACGTAGAGGGTGCAGTGGGTGGCGGGGTGGCCTCCTGTGCTCGGGCCTGACGACGCCACCTACACCGCTGTGGCACCGGTGCAGCTGCCCTCTGGGGACAGACCTGCTCAGGGCTGGAAGCCACCAACGAGGTCGTAGGCCCCGGGCACGCGAACCAGTCTCCGTCCTTGGACTGGACTGTGAATGGCAGGAACTCTCTGAGTCACTGCTCAAGCTGTCCCTGAGGGGCAGCAGGCCCTGGTCCATCAGGCGGTGCTGAGCTTGGGGACCACGAGGGCCGCGGTGGCAGGGGGTCCCCACAACCATCCAGGGTCCCTGGGGAGGGGACAGATCGCCCACGGGCTCCTGGGGTCCGGCACCAGCCTTTGAATTCGTCCTTCGATGTGATTTGCTGGACCAACCAAAACGTTTACCAAATGTGTTTGTGTTCCCAAAATAGAGGCATGTCCACCCAGACGAAATACAGACGGCTGGGCGCCAGCCGGACTTCACAGACTTCTGGAATTTGTGCAGGATCGAGACGAGGAGAACAAGGTGCGTTTTTCCTGGGAGTCGGAGCCTCACTTGGGTTTAAGTCTTCGGTGGAATGTGTCCCCGTAGCCACCCTCAGCTCGCGGGTCGCCTCTGCAGACTGTGAACTCTGGGGAGGGCCCGTCCTCCCACGCCCAGCCCACCTCCGGGCACTGTCTCAGGACCAGCCTGCGTGGGCGTTCACTAACCAAAGGGCCGCCCAGTGGTCAGTGGCCCCCGGGAAGAACGTGCCGGAGCCCTCCCGCGGCTCCTTTCTCACTCCGTGTGAGGGAGGCCCGGCCCAGTGGCCCAGCGGAACCTTGGTCGGTGGCTGAGAAGAGCCGACCAACCAAGATTCAGCTGGTCCTGGTTCTCAGGCTGCAACCAAAATGCTTTACAGATTCTAATCTAATTTGGAAAGATGCTATTTTAGTGAAATAAATCCACTTCTTCAGAAACTTGAGCTTTGGCTTTGGAGGATATTTCGGCCCAGTCTGTTTTGCTTAGGAATTAGAATTTTTGGCTTGGTGCTTCTGTAATGAGACTTGAGCACTGGGGACAGATCTGCAATCAGTCTCGACAGAATGCGCCTGGACAGGGAGACCCGCTCCATTCTGTGACAAACAAGTTATGGAGGGGTTCGTTCTGACCTCGAGTCTGGGCCTCTCACACTGAAACCTCCAGCATGGTCCTCGGCAGACCCGAAGCCTGGGGGGCGGGACTTCACAAACATGGTGCTGATGGAGAGAAACGTCTTCACAAGTCCCACCAAGTGTTGACAACTAGCCACACGGGTTCGTGGCCTCTGCCTCCAGGTGGCAGCTCAGGGACCAGGACTTGGGCCCCCCCACACCCACCGCGTCGTCCTGGCAAGAGGCGCAGCCACGCTTAACTACCTCAAGTAATTATTAATAATATTATACCTTCTTGTAGTTTTGCAAGCTTTATATTTTGTAAAACACGGTGGCATATGTTACACATTAACGTTTTAAAATATTAACCTAACGGCGTCAGCATGAGGTGTCTGAGCACCGCTCCGGGGAGGATGTGGGCAGCCAAAGTCTCAGAGGGCGCGCCGTGTGAGCAGTGAGGCCGATGAGGTCTGCACGTCTGTGTTTGGAGCGTAGCGGCTACCCGGGTGGAAGTGGCCCGCACACGGTGGGTGGCGGAAGGCCACAGCTCAGGGCAGAGCGGAGCCAGACACGACCTTGTGCTGGCTGCAAGGCCTCAGGCCAGCGCGGTCCCCCAGCTCTCACTGCCCACACTGCTGGGGCTCCCACGAGTCCACGGCCCTCGGATGGTGCCTGCTGGGCGTCCTGCAGGCTGGCCCTGGGCCCCGCCACCAATGGTGGGCAGTGCTGGCCTCCTCTGGAAACAGTGAGCAAGTATTGTCACCTGCTGCCACTGGTGCTAGTAAGTTTTAGTAGATGGAAAAATAAATGAATAAGGAGTCAACGAGTATGAACTTAGATTGCTCAGAACAAATTGATTATGTTTGCTTGGACAGCTCTCTTCTGCGCTCATGACCATAATTTTGTATTAAAAGCTGTTATATTTATGACTATAAAATACTTTTAATAAGAGAATTACATATAGAAGTATTCCATTCTACAAATGACCCCAGATTCAAATTCTGTCAGCATATGGCACTTAAGAGACTCCCCCACAGCCATGGTGTCAAATGGAAAGGCTTTACCTCAGATGAAGCTCTCGGGGTCTGCCCTGCTCTGGCAGGGTAGAGGCTCTGAGCTGGAGAGCCCAGGCCACACTGCCCCCTCTGCGGCCGCCCACCGTGGGCTCTGAGGATAACACGCATCTCTCAGCAGCTTCTGATCAGCATGGCAAGTAGTTCCTGCTCTCGCTCCCCCCGCCGCCGCTCCCGCAATAACCTCCCACGCGAGGTGCTCCACGTTCCTCTCCCTATTCGTGACTGGACGTCCACTCTTCGGGCGACACCAGAAGCCAAGAGTTGCAGGTGGCAGAAGCCAAGAGTTGCAGCGGTCTGGTCCCTGAAGCGGTGAGCTGCCGGTGAGGGACTGTCCTCTTCCTGATGCGGAGGCACACGCTCGGCTCCCCGGTCCTTCAGTTTAAAATGTCGTCGTGCAGAGGTACTGGCATTTTGTGGTGTGTTTGTTATTGTCACCAGCATTACTTTAACTAATACAACCTGGCATTATCCAGGCATTTTGGGTGCAAAAATTAATAAACCACAGATCTACACTCAAAGCATACAGCCTAGTGAGGACAGCGCATAAGTAAACATTTTCTGTGATGGACTAAGTAATGACAAGGACATGCAGACGGTAGTGTCGGATGCCGAAGCGGGCACCGGGCGGAGCCTGGAGCTGCAGGCCTGGGGAAGGGCGCGGCGAAAGGGTGGGGGCTCCGGGGCAGCCTGCGCACGGACGTTCCGTGTGAGCGGGAGGGAGACACTGCTGTGCTGCACGGCTTAAAATGACAACTACCGAGGGACATGCGAGTCACAGTTATAGTGACGGACTGCCACACACGCGTCGGAATGGCTGGAACTAAAAACGAGACGGTGGTGCCCACCGGGACTCAGCCGCCGGAAGTCTCGGACGCGGCTGGTGCGAACGGGAACTGTGCAGACCCTTAGGGCATTGTTGGTAGCTTCTTGTAGAGTTAAACACACACTTTCCACCTCATACAGCAATTCCTCTGCTGTATATTGAACCGACTGAAGTTAACTGATGTTCACATAAACACCTGTCCGCAACATTTAGTGTGGCTTTATTCATCATCACCAAGTTGAGAAGCAACCCAAATGCCCTTCAAATGGTGAATGGATAAATGGCACATCAGTACAATGGAATTCTACCCAGAATGAGAGGACAGGCATACCGACACGTACCACAACATGGTGAGTCTCAAGTGCCTCCTTCTCTGTGAAAGAAGCCAGGCTCTAAGGCTGCATATTCAATATGACTACCCACATGATGTCCATGGCAGGCAAAGCACCAGGGACGGACGACTGACCAGTGTTTACCAGGGTCTGGGATGGAGAAAGTCGCTGGATCAGAAGAGCGTGAAGAAACTTGGAGGGTGATGGAAACGTTCTACATCTGACACCATCTGGCCACGTGACAGCGTGCCTTTGTCAAAACTCACAGAAACATACACTTAAATGGGTGAGTTTTACTTATCTCAGTGTTTTAAGTGTTCAAAAACAAAATTTTTATGCCTATTTTTAAATTTAGAAAAAAAGGAAAAAGTGTGCCATGCAAATCCTGATCGAGGGAAATTTAAACCGGCCGTATGGTTGTCAAAGTACACTGAGCAAAGGGAATACTACTGGGTATAGAGCGAGCTATCTCAGAAATGCAAACGGATCAGTTCGTCAAGGGTGCCTATCAGTTCTAAATGTGCATTCAACTAATAATAAAGCTTAAGAATGTGTGTAGCGAAATCTAAAAGAACTTAAATAACAAATAGACGAGTCAACAAAAAATTTCTCCCACCATAAGAAACTAAAAAAATAAGACAAATTAAACACAAACCAACCGGAAGGAAGGAAAAGTAAAGACTGGAGCAGAAATTAATGAAATAGAAATAAAACGGTAGAGAAAATAAAAAACAAAAAGCTGGTTCTTCGAAACAATCAGTAAAACTGATAAACCTCCAACTACACTGATAAGGGGAAAAATCCTCAAAAGCATAAATCACCAATTTCAGAAACAACAGAGAGGACATCACTGCAGATGCTATAGATACAAAAGATTAATAGGGGACGATGACAGCCAATATATTTGATGAACAAAATTCCTTCAAAACCACAAATTACTAAAGTTTACTCATGAGGAAATGTAAACTTTGACATTCTATTATCTATTAGAGAAAACTGAATTCATGTAAAACATTCTAAAAAAAGAAATCTTCTGTCCCTGGTAAATTCTACCAAACATTTAAAATAAGAAAAGAAACAAAACAGTTCTACATAAACCCTATAGAAAAGAAAAGAGAAAAGAGCACTTTACCATTATTTTATGAGATTATCATTATCCTGATACCAAGAGCAGATAAAAAAACATTACAAAGAAAGAGACCTATGAAAATGAATATCCCTCATG